CTAATACACACAAATAACGTAACACTGTGTCGTATTTACTTAACGTAGGGCAATTGCGCTATATCTTTGGGGAGTGCATAATTATTAATTAATAGGCATTATGGGCCAGAGGAAATTTTGCGCCCCTTCACACCTGCGCGCGGGGGCGACTGCTCCCCCCCTGCTACTCCACTGTATGCCTCATAGAGTGATGATTTTTTATAGATTATCGTAATACATGTTTTTTTGTTATAGACTTCGTTTCTTTTATTTTTCTCCAGCCATGTCCCTTCGGAACGACAGATCCTCGAGCTGAAGAGTGTTCCTTATTTAATGGAATGACAATGAACTTTCCCGGGCTGCCCTCTAACGTCAAATGGCTTCCATATTATTCAGAAGGTAATTAATGGTGCAATATGTTATTTTGTTTTGTAATAGATAACATCTAATAAGTGTGATTGTCTTGTTTCTTGCTCTCGCACCAGGATGTTTTCTCTTTTTCAAATAACAAGAGTTCTCAGCGGAAATGTCGATCATGGCAATAGTTTCAACTGTTGGACTAAGAATATCACTTTAAAGTAAATGTCTAGACAATTAAGAACATAGAACACATAGAACACTTAGAATTTGGAACATGATTTAGGATGTTGTTTTTCACACTTAGAATTTTGAACATTTTAGATTATTGTTGTTTTTACACTTTTAAATTCGAATAGTCTTTATATTTATAATATCATTGTTTCACATTTAGAAACAATATTGGTGTGTTAGAATGACACTGTTTTATAATAGTACTGTTCCCCAGGCAATTGTAATCTTTAACAAACTTTTAGCTTTGTTTAAAAACAGTAGATTTTAAAAATGTTAAGATTGTGAGAGATTCTAGTGTTGAAAAAATAACAACAAAAAACAACGTAAACTTGAATCATTCTCATATCGAAACCACGTGTATTGCTGTTTAAAACGTTAATTTTTGTTTCAGATCGTACTGAGGCCTGCAAGCTTTATTGTCAAGATCATGAAACATCTGCTCACTTCCTCCTGAAAGACCGAGTCACAGACGGGATCCCTTGTTGGGAGGAGTCGTTTGATGTTTGTGTGAACGGTGTGTGCGAGGTAATATTTTTTCTCGATTCTTCAGTTTGTACATTTCGTATAACATTGGGAATTATTGACTGGTTAATGATCGTCCACATTAAGCCTCATGATACAACCTGGACAGAGTTTGAGAACTTGGTAACGTTTCGTTGTCTCTTCATTTCTGTCTGTAAAATGATAAACGATGGGAAAATAAACATGAAGCAAGCCGAAACGGTATCTTTTTTTCCGTCAAAAGATAAGAAGTTGAATCTTCATATTAAGTGTTTCTAAACAAAATTAAGACGCCATTTTCTTGGTATTGTGCTAGGAATTACCACACTTTTGATAACTAAAATAACCAAGAAACATTTCACATCTTAACCTTGAAGATAAAGTTAAACTGGTACTAGCGTGTCCGGTCCGTATTTGTATTCGTCTAGTGCTGGACGTAGTCTCGTGCCCGTATTGTGAATCTGATGGTTTGTGACTCCTTGCTGAAAAAATGCGCTCTGCGCATTTGGACTGTGAATGCAGTGTAAAAGTTGGTCAAATCCCTACATTTCTGTTGGTCAATAGTAACAGAAGTGTTGGCGGTGAGCGTTGTTGACCATCTCTAGTCCATCAGTTCAGAATTAGGGACGGATAGCCCTCTGTACCTTTTCTCGAACAAAATAACAATCTTATTTATATAAATAATTTGATTGTTTTCAACACGTACTTTCACGTTTTTACACATCAATTGAAAACAGAGTTTAATTTATTATAAAAAGAATACAAATTTCATTAACTTCATATTATCGCTTCACCCCCTGGCGGAATTTACTGTCATGACTGTTCTAGTTCCAACTTATAAAGTAATATGTTGATAACATTCTCGCATTTCCATTGATTAAAGCAGTGTTCTGGGGAAATCATTAGGGTTAGCTTATGACGTTGAATTCATGTTACCGACTTTATTCCCGTTGTTTTACGTATGTTACCGTTTCGCTAGGAACTTCTTACGTAACCTTGAACGGAACATCAAGACTTACAGATAAACGGATTTACAACGCTACAAACCGGGTTTCGATACCTATGGTGGGCAGAGCACAGATAGCCCATTGTGCTTCACTTCAAAATAAATAAATTTCTAGATAACGTAACGTTGTTGGACACATCGGGTTTAGGCTACATTCCCGTTTCTCTAAGCGTGTTACCGTTTCATTAAGTGCCTTACGTAACTTTGCACTGAACATCTAGGTAATATCGTTGATTTTTAAAAAGTCTTGTTGTGATCTCGTACTGAGTAATGTAATTGATTTTAGAATGGTGGTTGTGACCATGTACTGGTTACAATATTGTAAATTATAGTGCTGTTTGTAACCATGTACTGGTTACAATATTGTAAATTATAGTGCTGTTTGTAACCGTGTACTGGTTACAATATTGTAAATTATAGTGCTGTTGTGACCGTGTACTGGTTACAATATTGTAAATTATAGTGCTGTTTGTAACCATGTACTGGTTATAATATTGTAAATCATAGTGCTGTTTGTAACCATGTACTGGTTAAAATGTTGTAAATTATAGTGCTGTTTGTAACCATGTACTGGTTACAATATTGTAAATTATAGTGCTGTTTGTAACCATGTACTGGTTACAATATTGTAAATTATAGTGCTGTTTGACCATGTACTAGTTACAATATTGTAAATTATAGTGCTGTTTGTAACCATGTACTGGTTACAATATTGTAAATTATAGTGCTGTTTGTAACCATGTACTGGTTACAATATTGTAAATTAT